TTGTTTTTTGTGGGGGGGGGGGGGGGCAGGGTTAATAAAATCTAGAAGTTCATAGAAAAATAGCTACTTCTATAAACATTCTTGCTTGTAGTCAGAAGATTCAAAATGGAATATGACCTGTTCTCTTATCAGTCTCCCTCTCCAAACAACCAGTTCAGAATACGTCTCATATTAGAACACAAGACCCTTGGATTCTATACTCAGGTTTACCAGTAACCTGATCATGATTTGGAAATGACCCCTACCCTCCTCTGTAAAGCATTCCAAAATCTTCATATGGAAAGCTGTTTAAGTGCTAGACATTATCATTATCACAGTCTAAGAAACCTCACCATCAAAACCACTAATATGAACAAACTAATAATTTGTTTAATAATCTGCTTACCTCTTTAAATGTGCAGCAACTCAGATTAAAACCAAAAACAAGAAGTCTGTAACACCTTCAATCCACTAGCAAACAGCACCCTCTAGTGGATTATGTGAATCAAGCAAATGCAACAAAAACTGATGACCAATGACAACACAGGATGTTTTGATTGTTCTTTATCAACAGGGTTTGACAGAGAAATATGGGGCCTGGTACAGTCTGGTGGAGAGGATTTAGTTGCACCCTGGCAAAGATATTCCCAATTTACCACGCCTCCAAAATTTAAATCTGTAGCGTTATAACTAATGAATTCTTTCTTTTTTTTACTAGAGGTCTGCTATGAATAATGAATAACAGGTAGGAAGATCCAATACAGAAATATAGTAATATTTGCATGTCAGTATTTTACAATAAGCAATGAAACATCTCTGAATTGTTTTCCAGTTCTTCCCCTCAAAGAAAGAAAGAGCTGCTTCGGGAGGAAAGACACTTGCTCTGCATCAAAGCAAATGACAAATCCAAATAAAACAACAGAGATATTAAAAGTCAGAATGAACTTAATGCTTGGGATGTCTATAGAACCACAGTTAAGGATTCATTTATTATTCTGGAACTACAGAATTATGTAGCACCTTTAGTTTTCTTTTACTGAAAGGGCCTATTGGTTTTTGCAAAAAGGTAATTGTTGCAGTGAATTCTTCAAGGTCTTTTTTTGTTTGTTGTTTTTGGAAGATCACAGGAAAGTAGGGCTGGAAGGGACCTCATAAAAGGTCATCTAATCTAACTCCTGCTCAAGGCAGTATCATCTCTGACTAGTCGATATCATACCCAGTTTGTATTTATGCACGTAGTTATTTCATCCCAAGTGCAGGACTTTGCACTTGTCCTTGTTGTCCTAGACCTGTCTCCTATGGCCACAGAGAAAAAGTCCATGTCTATCCTCTCTATAATCACCCTTCAGGTATTTGAAGACAGTTATCAAATCCTCCCTCAGTCTTTCCTTCTGTAAACTAATCAGTCCACATCCTTCCTGATGTGTGGAACCCAACACTGGACCACACTACTCCAGGTGAGACCTCACAAGTGCTAACTGGAGTGGAAAAATCACCTCCCTTGATACAACCCAATATACAGTTGGACTTCTTTGCAACAAAAGAACACTATTGGTTCACGTTCAGTTTAAGGTCCGCTCTGACACCCCAGGTCATAGGCAACACGTAGGGTGCGCACGGGGAGGAGGCATATGCCTCCCCTGAAATTGGCCCTCGTCGGCCAGGAAGCGGAGAGTGCCGGCTGGTGCTCCCCTCAAGAAGCACTGGCAGCACTTCTGGTTTAACCGGTGGCACTTCTGGTTTGCTGCCAGCACTTCCAGGGTCAGCGATTGGCCACTGGAGGACCTCCCCACTGGTCAGCTCTCAGCCGCTGGTGCCCCCACAGAACCAGGAGGCACCAGTCACTCATACACCCCAGGTACTTCTCTGCAGAAATGCAGGCTAGCCAGTCATTCCCCAGTCTGTATTTGTGCACTTGTCCTTGTTAAATTTAATTTGGTTGGTTGTGGACTATAACAGGGAGCCCAAGGCTCCTGTTACTTTAAGAGAGTGCAGCAGGCTATGCTGCTGGTGTAGGGCTGCAACAGAGAAGCACAGGCTGGCTCTTAAGTAAATGGAAAATTCCTGTATGTGGTTGGGGAGCCACATGAAATGAAGGGGCAGGGCTCTGAGGCATATTACCCAGGGCCTGAGGCAGAGGAGACAGTATGGCCCTGCATGCTGCAAGAAGAATTGCTCCCAGGGAACATGGTTGTAAGGCCCATGGAAACCCAAGCTACCCAAGAGAGCAAGACCAAGACTAAGACTGAGACAGTCAAGAGGGAAGTATAGCTTGCAATGGGGTACTGACCCAGCCTGGGGGATAACTTTACTTGGAAACAGTTTGCTTATATGTCTGTTATGCTTAAATTTCAAACTGGAGGACTGTGTTGTAGCTACAGGGGTGCCTGAGAGGTACACAGCACAGAGCTCCCTTGTCAAGGTCAAGGATCCCAGGGAACTGAGCAACATGCAAGTCACCTACCCAGAGTCAGGAACCCCAGGGGCAGAGCAGCACGCAGCCTTGCTAGGGTCAGGGACTCTAGGGGCTGCCACAAGAGACCAGGGCGAGAGGCCCAAAACACAATAGAGCAAGATCAGGGCCATGGGCCCTGAGCCTGAGAGCAGTGGTGATGCATAGGGGATGTATGCGCACCCCCTGAGAGCACTGGTGTACCCCCTGACAGGCAGTGCTACCTGATTAGTGCACCAGTGCCCCCCTGTAAGCACCAGCCAGGGAGTGGGGGCGCCTGAGAAGCACTGCTGGCACTTCCAGGTTGGTGCGATTGGCTGCAGGAGAACCCACCCCATCACTGACTGGCCGCTGGGGGGCACGTACCCCCCCTGACCCAGGAGGCACCAGTCACTCATGCCTGAGAGGGTAATACAGGGCCAGGGGCCAGAAGCTGAGGTCCAGGACAATGGACCTGGGCTGAGGAGCACAGTTAGACATAAGAGGCTGAATCCAGGAAGGAGGAAGCCCCAAATGTTTTAGGCCTGAAGGGTCAAGTGTGGAGTTAGGGCTAGGCACCCCCCTCCAAATACTGAGTGCCACTTGGGAGGTATAGGTGTGGCCATGATTATAACCCCCTCAGGCACAACTAGGGCTACCTTAAAGGAGAAACATCCCACAGAACTTGGGGCCAAGAAGCCCTGAGAAATGTATGAAGAGAAAAGGCACACACGAAGAGGCTACTCTGGCCTCTGGAGGCAACTTCCCCAGCTAAAAGACCTTAAGATCAAGTTATGGCAGGTAAGAGAGAGGAGGTGAGGCAGGCCAGGGATCATGGACAGGACAGCCTGGCCACTAGACAGAGTCAGACATTGGGCTGATCACCTGAGCCTGTCACATGGACCATTTCTTCAGCCTATCCAAGTCATTCAGGATCTAAGCCCTGCCCTCCAGCATGTCTTCAGCTCCACCCAACTCTGTGTCATGTGCAAATTTGCTAAGCGTACCCTTGATCACATAGTTCAAATCATTAATAAAGATATTAAAGCAATACCAGAGAGAGGACAGATCTCTCGGGAACCCCACCCGATACCTCCTCCTAATTAGATATTGAGTCATTGAAGATACTCATTGAGCTTGATGATCCAATCAGTTATGTATCTGCATTACAACATTTTCATCTAGTCTATACTTCCTTAGCTTGTAAATGAAAATATTGAGAGAGACCATGCCAAAAGCCTTGCTAAAGTCAAGGTATATTACATCCACTGCCCTCCCCGCACCTACAGAGTTTGTCACCTTATCATAGAAGGACATCAGATTGGTCAGATGTGACCTGTTCTTGGTGAATCCATGCTGGCTGTTCTGATTCCTTTGTTCTCCTCTAGGTGCTTCACAATAACTTCCTCAAGGACCTTCTGTATGATCCTTGCAGGTATCAAAGTCAGACTGACTAGTCTGCAATACTCCAGATCAGGGGCAGGG